GGAGCTTCCAGGGCCTGCCAAACAGGTCAAAATAATGACAATTGTCTAGGAATGGGACTTTGAAAGAACTCCAACTCCATCCTGCCCCCTTCAGTGGCTTCCAAACTGCCGGTTTTCATGGTAATTGCTGGCTGTTGGTTTCAAAGCTATTGTGGAGCTGGAGAGGGGCAGATGAGAATAGTGCAAGTTACACAGTGCTCACAGAGATTTCGTCTTTTTCTTGAATAAGTGCTCTGCAAATTGCTACAGGTCTTCAGTTAATTTCCAGAGCTGTAAGAAGTTGAATCTATTTTTGCCAGATTCTCATTGGTTTTATGGAGGAGAGACTCTTTGAGGGTCCTTAGCATTGTTGCTGACATCCTCCCACATACTTTTTTTGAAGCTTGAAATGCTCTTCCGTGTCAAGTCCCACTCACCTTTCAGACCTTGTATTTTTCCTCTTGGTTGTGGCTTTTCTGAGAACACTGTTTCCTTGGTACTTGCTTCCATTTTCCCCCTCCAAGTCCAAGAAGACCATAACAAAGAGTGGTGGCAAAGAAGCTTTGACTGAATGCTTCAGTTTTTGGGCTCCTGACGATGCAACTATAATCTCAGGGTGGCCTTAATCGCTAGATGTGAACAATCTAGTTAGATCTATTTTTCGAGTGCTGTGTTATGTTCTTAAAAGAACAAACCAATGAAAGTTGCTCACAGTTTTGCAGTGTTTAAGGACCCAGTGCCACAGTAAGACCACGTAAGTTCACTGCTTTCTAGCAGTGATCATGGTACTACCTCACTGAGCTACCGTGAAGATTGAGTGAGAAACAATTTAAAGAAAATCCTTAGCACAGTGTCTGGCGTAACCATCCCATACATAGCTGCTGGGATTTTCATGATCGTCACAGCACCCATACCTAATAGAAATCTTGTATTATGTATCTGAGTAGAAAGGGACCCCAGAAATTGACGCGTTCACAACTGCACACCAAGGGCAGTGACTTACTCTACCTTACATCCCTGTTAAATGATATCTAGCCTGTGGTTTAGTATTTCCAAGGACAGGAGTTCACCATCTTTTAAAGGCACCTCATGGTATTGCCAATCACTCCTATCATCAGGAATTTTTTCCTTCTACTGAGTCCCCAATTTTTCTCCTGTTTTTACCCTGAAACGCCCTGAAATGAAGTTATTATCATTTCTGTGTGATGGCCCTTCCATCTCTGGGCCTCCCTTATAACATTCTATAGCTCTTCTTTCTAGGTGTGCTCTAAGGAAGAGGCTGGTGCTTCCAGTTGCAGACCAGCTCTCCCTTGCCACGACCTGAGGTATCCTATGGAAATCAAGCAAGGTTTGAAAGGCCTAGGCAAAAGGAATAAATTCCACTGAAGATCATGGCGATCCAATTCTCTTTTCTACCTCCCTTCCCAGGGTAAGTGCATCCCTGCTCCACCTCTGCCCTAGGAACACTACCAAACACAAATGCACACTCACACACACAAAAAGAACAGGTTTAATTTATTAGTTGCTCTTTGGCAAAAGCTATATAGAACATTATTGGGGTGAAAATTAAATTCTAGTTACAGATTCATGAAACTTGAAGCCAGATTAGTTTTATGAGACTATCAACTCCCCTTTCATCCTCCTACACAGCAAGGTACCTCAATCATAGTCTATATAATTTTTTGCTGTTTTTAAATGATTAAAGCAGACATAATACATAATGCAGTTGATATTAAATATCTTGAGGAATGACAAATCAATAGATCTACTTTCACTCTTAAGCATTAACTGGTCACTTATAAATGTTCTGTTTATCCACTTTTCATTTTAGATTTTCTCCTTAAAAGGGCTTTATGTGTGAGCTATTCACCATTATCTGCTATTTGTTTGTATACACACATCATAAGTCTTCCAAAATAGCATTTAAAGTCTTTCTTAATATTGCTTTAGAAATGTTAACCTTTAAGGAACATTCAATTTAAAAAATAAAGGTTCAGGCACTGACTCAGTAACACACATTCAGATGGGTCAAGATTTTGTTCCCCCTGACCAGATAAGAGACTCCAACAACATACAATGTGCCAGCTTCTTCTTTGCCCAACTCAGAGAAAGTCATATAAAGGAGAAAAAGAAAACATGCTTGCAATCACAGTGACCAAAGGATTTGAATTAATAATTACATTAAATAACCATAACTTTTCATTTAACTATTCACATTCCACACAGTGGAAATTATCCTCTCCTCCAGATTTTTCACTTACACTCTTAACTTTGAAGAACTACAGTAACAAAAAAACAACCTACAGACTTCCAGGATGTGTGTTTTTTTCTTTTAATGCCAAGCACAAAGTACATCATAAAATTCATATCTGGTGTTTGGCATTATTTTAATAGGTACAATCAAGATCGCAAATATCTTGCCATAAAAATATTCTACTATAATAATGAAAAAATATATCATGACATCATCAGTGACTCGAATAAAATATGTCACAGATATGGCATTTTCAATGAAAGCTGGAAGCCACACCACATTTGTACTAGTCTTAATATAGGCACAGTAAGAAGAATAGACATTTCCCTCTTTGGCTAGTGCTGTGCTTTTAGGGTAGTTATGCTGCTGGTTATTCCAGTGGAGTTAGTGTTGAGGAAATTCTCTTTACTTGAGCCAAATCTGCACTTATAGGCAAGACTGTGGTACAAGCTCCTAAAAAAAGATTACTGCTGCCAACTTAAGTCATCTCTGCTAACAAAATTGCATGCTTGTGGCAGAGTTAAAACAACAAGAGAAATTCACTGTGCGCTGGTTCTGAATGTCATTTTTCCTCTCTGGTGTGGTTTTACATTTTCAGTTTCTTTCCCTTTTCCTCTCGCCCACCCTCAAAATTCTGCCTTGGCATTTGTGTGCTTCATTAAATCCACTCTGTGCTTTATTGTTGGAGAATATGGACAATACAAATATTTGGGGCAGGGTCATACAGTGTATACAAAACCCACACACTATGTGTTTGGACAAATTCGCCTAGTGTGAGAATCATCAGTAGTGAGTTTAAAAGTTTGAAAATTAGACCCAACATTTTGGGCGTTTAAAATATCTCCCGCCTTGAAATGGCTCCTGTTTAGTTTGTTAGATGGGAGAGCACTGGATCAAAATAAAAACAGCTTCTCGAGTTGCAAGGGTTCTCTGAATGCCAGAGCCTTGATGGGCAACCGAATCTCAAGTCTGCAGTGTTTGTTTTCCATATTACATAGGACTTGGCTAGGAGGCTGAGGAGATACAAAGCAAAAAGAATATTCAGGGAGTTTGTATATAAAACCTCAGGCTTGAAGAAAACAGGTTAACCAAATCCAAAGTGCAATAAGGTTCACCCACCCTGCACTTTGGCCCTTAGATAAATCCTAAGTAGGCACTGCCAGTAGGCCAAGTTTAATCAGAGGACAGTGCCTACCAGTAGATACTGAATAGTTACAATCAGTAGCAGATGAACAGCTAATACACCCGGATGCTATGCTCTCCTAACAGGGTGCGCTCGATCCTCAGTGAGCACATAAAGAAAGGGAGGTCATATCCCTTACATCTCTACCAGGTATTAGCACCTAACTACTCTCTAGCCAGAAGCAATTCCCTTTATTTCCTCACTCTCCTCCTCTTCTCTCTAGCCCAATCTCCTGACAACCGTTAAAACAAAAAGACCCCAAAAATACCTCTTGCTAAAACAGAGTAGTCCCTAAACTCTCTCATCTTAGACTACTGTCAGGTACACTCAGCACCGGCAGAATCTTTATCAGTCAGGCTAGTGGCTCTCAGAAGCATTATGGGAAATACTGAACCGGGAATAAGCGGATTTTAACCATGAAAAAGGAAAGCTATTAGGAATTTCAGCCTCTGAGATTTTGTTTAATTCCTACCCCTATGCAGAGAGTTCTAAACTGCCTCTCTTTTCCATCCGAGGGACTAAGCAGAGGGCTTGGTTTGGTTTGGCCAACTTGCTTGGGTCTGAACACAGGAGTGGTCAATGTATGTTTTCAGTTTGGTGTTAGGTTTGAGCAGATCGCAGCAACGGCCAAAGTTAATCACTTTCTGGCAACCTCATTTCTCCTCTGTTCACTTGGGTTCTGTTAAATACTAGGAAAAGACTTTCTCAGAAGCATGGGCCTCACTGTGTTCTGGTATTGGCCTTTCAAGCTTCTGCAATGTCCCTACTGACTTTTGCTGGGCCTGATTTGGTCTCACCCTCCATCCTCCCTTTCTCACTCCACTATCCTGGTTGTCCTTGCCCACATTGGCCTCTCCCAGAGTCTGGAGGGTCTTCACAAAATGAAAAACATTTGCATCATGGTAAGTGAATTAATTTAGAAACCTTGGCAAACAAGAGATTAGACTGACATAGTCACTGACAACTTAAGGAAGGATGGACTGTGGGGAGAAGGAGGAGAGGAGGATGCAAGCACAGGTTAGAAAGGACTTTTCCATGTTGAATGCAGCACTAAAACAGGTCTCTTGCCCTCAGAGGAGCCTCTTCCATGAACCTTCATTCAGAAGGGAGATTCCGGTTCCCAGGAGGGCACAAAAACACAAAGGCAGAACCAGACCATGGCCCCGCCCCTTTAGATGTGAGCTGGGGTGATGCGGGTTTCTGGTACATCCCCATTAAAGCAGATATGTTTACAAAATAGGAAGTGCTCTCTAGCCGAGACTGTGTTTCCTCTGGTGTCTAAAAACACCCACCGGCACCCGTCCACACTCATGCACACAAACTACGCACAAGCAGGCTCCTGCCAGGAGGCAGCTGGGGGTTCTTCTGGCCTCTAGGTTTAAGCCAAATAAGAATCTGATTGTTTTAGGTCTGGGACTTCCTGGGGCTGCATTCCTAGGACAGGCTGGGTGCACCTGGATTTGGCTTAATCCAAATCGATGGATATGCAACGACACTGCTTCACACGCGTGACTCTCTTCTTCTTGGTAGGTGGCTGTAGTTCAGGGCAGTTGAGTGTGACCATCATGGTAGTGAATTTCTTGGGCTTGCAGAAGGAGCAGGACTGAAAGGAACCTTCCTCCTTCCGGATGTGCCTGGGGATGTAGAAGGAGTTGCACTGGCCGTAACAGAAGCGGTTGATGATGGTACGACTGTTGCAGCCTTCCTCGTGGATGGTCTGCTTAAGCGGCTGGGTTTTGCACCAGTCTCGCTTCAGGTATTTGCGCTCGGTCACATGCAGGGCCTCTTGGCTGGACTCCAGCACCTCCTCCCCCGGCATGGCAGTGCCCCGCCCTTGGCCCCGCCCCCGGTTCCTGGAGCCAGGCTGCTGGGGCGACTGAGTCTGCTCTGAATCATTGTGCTGAGCCTTGTCTGGCGGGGGGATGGCACCTTGGGACCCTTTCTTTTTCCCTTCAGCAGCCGGCAGCAGGGTCCCCAAGAGGAGAAGCAGGGCTCCCACCGTGTAGGCTGTGCGGCTCATACTAAAGGAAGCAAGCACAGAGAGGGGAAGACACAAAACATGGCAAAGTTAATTTAAAAATTAATAGTAGCACCTAGCATTTAAATGCACTCGTTAAACACTTACGTAAAACATTCCATTTACTTCTTACAGTACCTGTATGAATTAGGTACTATTATCTCCACGACCCAGCCATCAATCCATGGAGTAACTCCCCCAGATTCCCACAGTGACTAAGTCAAGTTTTAAACTCAGCCCCCTAGGGCCAGCTCTTCTCTGCACCTATTCTCACAAGAACTTCTTCCTGGCCTCTGGCACCAACCACATTTGACTTTGTATTGCGTTCACTTAACCATATTCATTCTTGTATTTGATAATATTTAGTAAGCTCCTACTGTGTTAATGCCATATGACCTTTGCACCTTTTCAGGGGAACTCATTTTCTATTTGGTTTTACAGCAGGATGAATTAACCTCTCTGCCCAGAGGACTTCATTCCTCCAGAAATGTCCCAGTCTTTTCTCCCCAGCTAGCCTGAGGCTTCCTGAGCTGTGAATGCTTCTGAGACTTTGCATTTTTATCCTATGTGGAAGGAGAGATTCATGGAGACCAGAAAGCATTTGACAGAGGGAAAACAACAAAACAGGAAAGGTCGGGATCCTGGTGCAGTAACTTGCTATCTGATCTTAAGGATGTCACTTTATCTCTCAATAAATGACTCCATTTAAGCAAAGATACCAATACTTTGTCTCCCCAGGTAGGTTGTTCAGATCCAACTCAGTGTCCATGTGAGAGCAATTGGAGAACTAACCAAAAGTGTGGCGGTACTGCACATAGAATGAAAGACAGCAGCACGTAGGTGACGTGACTCATGAAGCTGCTCCACCTCTCACTTATTCTCATCTTGAAACTGGGCACAGATACTCAATCTATCATTCTTTGTACCACGATATACATTATTCTACCTTTTAAATGGTGAAACATGGCCGAGCACGGTGGCTCACGCCTGTAATCCCAGCACTTTGGGAGGCCGAGGTGGGCGGATCACGAGGTCAGGAGATCGAGACCATCCTGGCTAACGTGGTGAAAACCCATCTCCACTAAAAATACAAAAGCTAGCTGGGCGTGGTGGCGGGCGCCTGTAGTCCCAGCTGCTGGGGAGGCTGAGGCAGGAGAATGGCGTGAACCCGGGAGGCGGAGGTTGCAGTGAGCCGAGATCGTGCCACTGCACTCCAGCCTGAGCGACAGAGCAAGATTCTGTCTCAAAAAAAAAAAAAAAAAAAAAAAGTGAAATATGTCACTCACATGTGTCTGTGTATATATAATTTAAAGGGTAGAAAAATGGGCATGGTAGAACAAGTATGTGCAAATATTTACATTAATAAATGGCATGGGTATGTTGAATAAATTAGTGGCAATGAATTACTGTGGATAGGTCTGAAGCTAGATATGGGTCCGCGAGGGCAGTGACATGTGAACAATGACAAAAAATAACAAGGAGGTGAGGTGAGGGAAAATCAACAAAAAATCGGAAGCCATAGACAGAGAAAAAAATGAATGAAGTGAAGAATGCAATTCAGAGAAAGGGGAACTCTTCTACAAGTTGAGTGTTCAGAGGAGGTAGTAAAGGCAGACAGAAAGGGAGGAAGAAGACAGAAGGGAGTGGGGTGGAGAAGGAGCAGCATAATTTTAAAAAGGAGAGTGCAAGAGAGAAGCCTCAGACTCAAAAGATTTTCCTCCTGGGACAGTGCTTCTTAGACTTGAAAATGCAGACAATTATCTGGGGATATTGCTACGGTGCAGGTCTGCCTTTTTATTAAGCTTTGAGTAGCAAAGCCTATAAGCACTTGCTGCCATGGGGCACAGAAAGAATTATTAAAATGTGGAAGGATTTTCTTTTCAATGGATGCAGTTTCAAATTCACAGCCTCCCTCCTGCGGCCATCACAACAATCGGACCTGAATCCTGAAGGTTCTCCTGTCCCACTCCTGTGGTTTTCTGAACCTAAGAATATAGCTGTGTAGCACCCATTTTCCTTCTCTCTTTGGAATACCAGTATTACACATAATAACCACTACGTGCAATTTAACAGTAACCTTATTATTTCTCCCGCCAAAACTGGACAAGTTGGTATTATTAGTCAGAGCAATTACCTTGCACAAAGGCAGTGTAGGATCTAGATTTCTAATGAACAGCACATGGTAAGTAAACACCATTCAACCCTAGGATAATGTCAAATTAAAATAAATATTGAATTTAAGATATCTTTATATGGCACCATCTTTCCAACATTAACCTAGTACTTTTAGACCAGTTCAAGTTTGGAGCTGATAATGTGACATTCAGCTTTTGCTCCAACTGTAGGTTTCCCAGCTTTGGTCAGTTTATGTTACAACATCCCTGCTCTTTATACAGAGTTTTTGTTTTACCCTAACCACAAAAAAATTGATTTACTTTGTAGTTTTTTTTAAAAAAGCACTTATACCATACATGCTGTTTGTCTTACTGTAGCCTTGTAGTATAGTTTGAAGTCAGGTAGCATGATGCTTCCAGCTTTGTTCTTTTTGCTTAGGATTGTCTTGGCTATACGGCCTCTTTTTTGGGTTCCATATGAACTTTAAAGTAGTTTTTTCTAATTCTGTGAAGGAAGTCAATGGTAGCTAGATGGGGATAGCACTGAATCTATAAATTACTTTGGGCAGTATGGCCATTTTCATAATATTGATTCTTACTGTCCATGAGCATGGAATGTTTTTCCATTTGTTTGTGTCTCTCTTACTACCTTGAGCAGTGGTTTGTAGTTCTCCTTGAAGAGGTCCTTCCTTCACATCCCTTGTAAGTTGGATTCCTACGTATTTTATTCTCTTTGTAGCACTTGTGAATGGGAGTTCACTCGTGATTTGGCTGTTTGTCTATTATTGGTGTATAGGAATGTTTGTGATTTTTGCATATTGATTTTGTATCCTGAGACTTTGCTGAAATTGCTTATTAGCTTAAGGAGATTTTGGGCTGAGATGATGGGGTTTTCTAAATATACAATCATGTCATCTGCAAACAGAGACAATTTGACTTCCTCTCTTCCTATTTGAATACCCTTTATTTCTTTATCTTGCCTGACTGCCCTGACTAGAACTTCCAATACTATGTTGAATAGGAGTGGTGAGAGAGGGCATTCTTGTCTTGTGCTGGTTTTCAAAGGGAATGCTTCCAGCTTTTGAGCATTCAGTATGATATTGGCTGTGGGTTTGTCATAAATAACTCTTATTATGTTGAGATACGTTTCACCAATACCTAGTTTATTGAGAGTTTTTAGCATGAAGGGGTGTTGAATTTTATCAAAGGCCTTTTCTGTATCTATTGAGATAATCATGTGGTTTTTGTCATTGGTTCTGTTTATGTAATTGATTACATTTATTGATTTGCGTATGTTGAACCAGCCTTGCATCCCAGGGATGAAGCCAACTTGATCGTGGTGGATAAGCTTTTTGATGTGCTGCTGGATTCATTTGCCAGTATTTTATTGAGGATTTTCGCATCGATGTTCGTCAGGGATATTAGCCTGAATTTCCTTTTTTTTGTTGTGTCTCTGCTGGGTTTCGGTATCAGGATGATGCTGGCCTCATAAAATGAGTTAGGGAGGAGTCCCTCGTTTTCTATTGATTGGAATAGTTTCAGAAGGAATGGTACCAGCTCCTCTTTGTACCTCTGGTATAATTTGGCTGTGAATCCATCTGGTCCTCGGCTTTTTTTTGGTTGGTAGGCTACTAATTACTGCCTCAATTTCAGAACTTGTTATTGGTCTATTCAGGGATTCGACTTCTTCCTGGTTTAGTCTTGGGAGGGTGTATGTGTTCAGGAATGTATTCGTTTCTTCTCGATTTTCTAGTTTATTTGTGTAGAGGTGTTTATAGCATTCTCTGATGGTAGTTTGTATTTTTGTGGAATCAGTGGTGATATCCCCTTGATCATTTTTTGTTGTGTCTATTTGATTCTTCTCTCTTTTCTTCTTTATTAGTTTGGCTAGTGGTCTATCTATTTTGTTAATCTTTAAAAAAAAAAAAAAAACAGCTCCTGGATTCATTGATTTTTCAAAGGGTTTTTCGTGTCTCTATCTGCTTCAGTTCTGCTCTGATCTTAGTTATTTCTTGTCTTCTGCTAGCTTTTGAATTTGTTTGCTCGTTTCTCTAGTTCTTTTAATTGTGATGTTAGGGTGTCGATTTTAGATCTTTCTCGCTTTCTCCTGTGGGTATTTAGTGCTATAAATTTCCCTCTAAACACTGCTTTAGCTGTGTCCCAGAGATTCTGGTACATTGTGTCTTTGTTCTCATTGGTTTCAAAGAACTTATTTATTTCTGCCTTAATTTTGTTATTTACCCAGTAGTCATTCAGGAGTAGGTTGTTCAGTTTCCATGTAGTTGTGTGGTTTTTAGTAAGTTTCTTAATCCTTAGTTCTAATTTGATTGCATTGTGGTCTGAGAGACTGTTAGGATTTCTGTTCTTTTGAATTTGCTGAGGAGTGTTTTACTTCTAATTATGTGGTCAATTTTAGAATAAGTGCAATGTGGTGCTGAGAAGAACATATGTCCTGTTGATTTGGGGTGGAGGGTTCTACAGATGTCTATGAGAAAACTACTTTAAATTTCATATAGAACCAGAAAAGAGGCCGCATTGCCAAGACAATCCTAAGCAAAAAGAACAAAGTCGGAGGCATCACGCTACCTGACTTCAAACTGTACTATAAGGCTACAGTAACCAAAACAGCATGGTACTGGTACCAAAGCAGATATGTAGACCAATGGAACAGAACAAAGGCCTTAGAAATAACACCACACATCTACAGCCATCTAATCTTTAATAAACCTGACAAAAACAAGCAATGGGGAAAGGATTCCCTATTTAATAAATGGTGTTGGGAAAACTGGCTAGCCATATGCAGAAAACTGAAACTGGACCCTTTCCTTGCACCTTATACAAAAATTAATTCAAGATGGATTAAAAACTTAAATTTAAGACCTAAAACCATAAAAATCTTAGAAGGAAACCTGGGCAATACCATTCAGGACACAGGCATCGGCAAAGACTTCATGACTAAAACACCAAAAGCAATGGCAACAAAAGCCAAAATTAACAAATGCGATCTAATTAAACTAAAGAGCTTCTGCATGGTGAAAGAAACAACCATCAGAGTGAACAGGCAGCCTAAAGAATGGGAGAAAATTTTTGCAATCTATCCATCTGGCCAAGGGCTAATATCCAGAATCTACCAGGAACTCAAACAAATTTACAAGGAAAAAACAACCCCATCAAAAAGTGGGCAAATGATATGAACAGACACTTCTCAAAAGAAGACATTTATGTGGCCAGCAAACATATAAAAAAAAGATCATCACTGATCATTAGAGAAATGCAAATCACAACCACAATGAGATACAATTTCCCACCAGTTAGAATGGCAATCATTAAAAAGTCAGGAAACAACAGATGCTGGAGAGGATGTGGAGAAACCGGAACACTTTTACACTGTTGATGGTAGTGTAAATTAGTTCAACCATTGTGGAAGACTGTGGCAATTCCTCAAGGATCTAGAACCAGAAATACCATTTGACCCAGCAATCCTATCACTACGTATAGACCTGAAGGATTATGAATCATTCTACTATAAAGACACATGCACACATATGTTTATTGCAGTACTATTCACAATAGCAAAGAGTTGGAGCCAACCCAAGTGCCCATCAATGATAGACTGGATTAAGAAAATGTGGCACGTATACACCATGGAATACTCTGCAGCCATAAAAAAGGATGAGTTCATGTCCTTTGCAGGGACATGGATGAACAAGGAAACTAACATTCTCAGCAAACTAACACAGGAACAGAAAACCAAACACCGCATGTTCTCACTCATAAGTGGGAGTTGAACAATGAGAACACATGGACACAGGGAGGGGAACATCACACACTGGGGCCTGTTGGGGGGTGGGGGGCTAGGGGAGGGGTAGCATTAGGAGAAATACCTAATGTAGATGATGGGTTGATGGGTGCAGCAAACCACCATGTCACGTGTTTACCTATGTAACAAACCTGCACATTCTGCACATGTATCCCGGAACTTAAAGTATAATAAAAAGAAAAAGAAAAAAAAGCATTTATGAGAAAAGCCCAGTTATAATACAGGACTGAATTTTTCCAGAGACCAGGTTAAGACAGTGTGGCAACTCCTCAAGGAGCCATTCTCCTGGTCTCAAAATATACTGTGAATTTGAGAAGGTTTTACGAATTTCTGGTACTTACTCAACTGAGACAAAGATCTAAAATAAAATATAATGCAATTCACTTACTCCCCATTTCAGAGGAGGAGTACACGAGATGGCCCCAGGCCTATTCCCCAAATCTTCCTCCATACCTCCTGAAAATGGCCTCCAGACAAATTCACCCGTCCCCTCCTAACCAAGACCCTCTGAGTTTGTCATCACAGAGGCCAATCTGAGACTAACTGGGAATAAATGCTGACTGCATAGGACAGGTTTACCTCGTAAGGCCCCTTCCACAAACATCTATCCGAAAAATGCAATTTTATTTCTCTGAACCAACTTAAGGCTTTCTTTATACTTAATTTTTCCTTCTTGGCATTTTCACATGTGTTATTGAGTAAATATCTAGGATGAGAGTTGATGAGGGCTTATTCATCACCTTACCCTCAGTGCCTGGCATAAGGCAGGTGCTTGTAAAAATTTGGTAAATGCATGATTGTTATGAACCTCATTGATTTACAGAGTTACCATCCTTTGCATTTTAAAATGCCTTCACCAGTGCCCATGAGCAGAAGAGCCAACCGCAGTCCTTTGGATGTCTGACTCTCAGTGTGGCAAATTCCTTCCATCCCAGAGAGCTTCCTAAGGCTTGTCTTTCTTTTTCTAGGAAAATTCCAAATGTCCCTGACTTTTCACCTGTTCTCGTATGGAATGCTATGGGTTTCATTTTCTAATTGAAGCCATTGAAATTAATACTATGGCAGAAGCCAACAGCAGAGCTATAAATTCAAAATTAGTCAACTGTGGTTTTCAATTTTAATTTAGACAGACTTTCTGTTTCTATGGGAGGGTGCCTACCTTCTAAGCCAAAGGGTCTACAGTGACAGACAGGCTTTTTTTTTTTTCTTAAAGGTACATTTTTCTCAAAATAAGATTTATTAGCTATGGAAAGTGAAATGCTTTTTCGTTTTTTAAAAGTCTATTCTTCAAAAATCTTTAGTACTAATTGTAAGATGTCTGAGTTGTCAACCTTTGTTTATTCAGAGAGAAGTAAACACCAACTTCAAGAATGTCACAATCGAGATCTCAGCTTCTCACAGAACAGCAATGCTCTGAGGCACACTAGCTGCCCCACATGAGTGACAGTAAGCAGGGTAAGAACTATAATTCCTAGTGGAACCAGGGCTCTGCCACATCCTTGTCAATCACCCAAGCTCTCCCCACCCCCAGACTGCTCTTGATTCTTCAGTGAAGGAAATAGGAATGATACGCACTTGAAATCCCAATTGTATTGTCACCAAATAATGTGCACTTTGTAAATATCAGAGATGGAGAGGAAATGCAGAAGATGTACATTTCTTGAAGACAATTCTTTTCCACAGCAACATGTAGAAGGGTGTCCCATAGTAAAAATTCAATCCATAGCTCATCCAGACTTAGGTTCCTATGACATCATCCATGCCCTGTCATTAGCTGCAAACGCTTTATGGTAATTTCTACTACTTATGAAATGGCCTATTCACATCATTAAATTAAATTAAGCTGCATCTCATAGGCTCAGTGTGCATCAAGATACCTAACATCTCTGCTGATTCTTTTTTGCAGACAGTATATCTTCGTTTCAAACTCAGCCTCGGTTTCGCATCAATGCAAAAAAATGTGATGTTATTCTCATCATGAGTTTTCTTTGCAACTGTCCTCCACCAGCAAGTCTCACCTCCTCTCCCCTTTTTATTATCTTTGCCTCTATCCTCTCTTTCATTTCACTTGTCCCAGAGGACACATACTCTCAAAGCAGGTCCTCTCTATAGCATGCTTTCCTTCCAGTTTCCCTTAGGGATGAAGAGTAAACATCTACAAGCAAGATAAGCCATATTAACCACCTCTATCCTGTGCAGGTCATGGCAATGTATTCCAATTTTCACAAAGCCTCTAGGAACACAATATTCTAATTCTGAGGGACTGAGAAATAAAAATGGTATATGTATGACCTGTTTCCAGTGTTCATGATGTCTCTGGGACAGTTGAAGCCAGCTCCTTCCATCACTCTTCTTGCTGTATTTCTCATTTTAGCTAAGCAACCTGCTCATAATCAGTGAAAGGGAGTTTTGAGTAGGAATTACAGTGAAAGCCAAATGTCTGTGCATGGACTTCTGGTCAGTTCCTCCTGATGAATCAAGCTTTAGAAAGACATTCAATAGGCATGACATCAAATTATTCTCCCAGCATAAGATATAGTGGAAGTGGCCGGGTGCGGTGGCTCACGCCTGTAATCCCAGCACTTTGGGAGGCCAAGGTGGGCGGATCACGAGGTCAGGAGATCGAGACCATCCTGGCTAACACGGTGAAACCCCGTCTCTACTAAAAATGCAAAAAATTAGCCCGGTGTGGTGTCGGGTGCCTGTAGTCCCAGCTACTCGAGAGGCTGAGGCAGGAGAATGGCGTGAACCCAGGAGGCGGAGCTTGCAGTGAGCCAAGATCTCACCACTGCGCTCCAGCCTGGGCGACTGAGGGAGACTCCATCTCAAAAAACAAAAAACAAACAAAAAAAAGAAATAGTGGAAGTGACTACAAATGCTCTAAGTGCAGGCCAGGTTTTAGAAAGATCTATTACTTTTTCTTAGGTCTAAATCTTTGGGAAAAGTATAGCTTATTTTTAATTTGATCTTTAATTTTTAAAAAGATAGTTGTGCTGATTTTCTTTTTCAGACAAGTTGCACCAAGGAGATAAGAAGAGTCCCTTGTTGGCACACAGGTAGAGGACAAAGTCTCATCTCCTTTGTGTTGTAAGAACCCTAAACACCCTCTCTAGTCTGAAGACCAGGTTGGCTCAATCAGGCTAGGGCCCAACATTGCACAGGACAGGGAGGAGACCACCTGGTTGTGAAATATCTCAGGAGCTCTATGTTTGTCAAAGATTTTCTTAGGAAAGTTAATGACTATATACAATTCTTGAGATCAACAACCAACGAGTTAGAAAGTAATAAATATTAAACGTTCACTGAGCAGCACTGCTAAGAGACGGCCAAGTTATGGGTTCTATTCTGTAGTGAAGATGTGTTAGTCACTGCGTAACGTGGGATTCAGGATTTTTTTTTTTTGAGATGTCACCCAGGCTGGAGTGCAGTGGCGCGTTCTCGGCTCACTGCAAACTCCGCCTCCCAGGCTCAAGTGATTCTCCTGCCTCAGCCTCCCGAGTAGCTGAGATAACAGGCGCCTGCCATCACACCCAGCTAATTTTTGTATTTTTAGTAGAGACAGGGTTTCACTGTGTTGGCCAGGCTGGTCTCGAACTCCTGACTCCGTGATCTGCCTGCCTCAGCCTCCAAAAGTGCTGGGATTACAAGCATGAGCCACCCCGCTCAGCCAGGATTCAGGATTTAATTTCAGAACTACCCTGTGATATAGCTTGGTTCTGTATAACATTACTACTTTTCCTAACACCATTACTAATAATAAGAGTTACCTCTTATTTTGAAGCCCTTACTGTGCCAGGCATTATGTTGAATTCTGACCCAATTTTATCATCTATTTTTCATAACAAAATATGAGGTAGATAATGTTATCTTCCTTTTACCAATCAGGGAATCTACACTCAGAATTATAAATTTGTCCATGGTCACAAAGCTCATAAGTGGGAGAGCCAGCGTTTTTTTTGTTTTGTCTTTTGGTTTTTGTGGGTTTTTTTTTTTTTTGACGGCGTTTTCACTCTTTTCACCTAGGCTGGACTGCAATGTCGCTATCTGGGCTCACCACAACCTCCGCCTCCCAGGTTCAGGCAATTCTCCTGCCTCAGCCTCCCAAGTAGCTGGGATTACAGGCATGCGCCACCACGCCTGGCTAATTTTGTATTTTTAGTAGAGACGGGGTTTTTCCATGTTGGTCAGGCTGGTCTTGAACTCCCGACCCCAGGTGATCCGCCGGCTTCGGCCTCCCAAAGTGCTGGATTACAAGCGTGAGCCACTGCGCCCGGCCGAGCCAGCGGTTTAAAACCAGTTCTATCTAGCCCAAATACAGGTCCTTAACCACTGTCCTAATGACACCCAGTGCTGTTCTTAACAGTGGGTCAATGGATATTTTTCTAATGCAATACAATTTGAAGAGTGCTACAAATAAAATAATTATCTGTTTTGTATCTTCATGTTCACATGTGAATAAAAAGATTTCTCTTGTCCCAGGACTTCCTGTTGTACTTTGAATTTCTAAGAGCATATGTTAAAACTAAAGAAAATTCCTGCAGGTAGATGTAAGACACGGGCTGGTAGCACTTGCCTGATAGTTGCCTTTTGGTTAGAGGCTACAGTCACCTCCCCTAACCACTGTCCCCCACCTGCCTTTCCTTTACATACAAGGTTTAGATTTCCTGGCTGTCCTTTACTGTGGAACACGCTCCAACAACAGCTCTTGGGGGAGGTGTCTGTGGCATGAAATTTCTTTGCATTTTATCACTTTTAATACCTGACCATTAAGACTGAAGGCATCTTCGACTTAGTTTCAAAGACAGGGTAGGCAGCCCTCATTCAGAGATGTGGGGACATAATAGGTTTTTATTCTTCCCTGTGTAACTACTCACATAAAGACCACATTAGCCAACCTGGATTTCCTACAGAGCGCGGGTTACCAAAACATTTCACTAAAAATGAACTTTTAAGAAAATAGGAAACCTGTGAAATTACAAAGTTTACAAAAGACTCTAATTCCTACAATGACCTGGAGGTTAAACACACACACACACACAGCCACTACCCTGCTAAAAAAAACCCTTAAATAGTTAATATTAACAATTTGACAGTGCCATTTATCCAGAGATAGTAATCAAATCACCTACTGTTGTAGACTTGGCTTGGGGGGCAGTAAGAATCTATAGTTTTCTTAAGATCTTTCCCTCCTTGCTTTGAAAAGTACATCCCCCCTCTCATGCTCCCCCTCCTTCCAAAAAAAAGATAAAAGGGGAGGGGGAAGCCCTAGGGATGAAAGAGGACTCCTCACCCGAGAATGGGGTTATCTTAACCTCTTCTATGCTATTTATTTAACTTGTGTGTACAGCCAGAAGGAAGCCACTACTCTGGGGTCCCTGGGACAGCTTAAAACCCTAGTGACCCACTTAACACAATAGATTGTTTTAATCAGTTCGTGTCCTGGCACCATCTCGAAGGGGAACATAAACAGACGCGCACACCGCTCAGATTCGCTCTTTCCAGCAGGAGATCCAATTACCTATCGGTGGTCACCTCTCTGCCCTCGGACCCTTTAAGAGGAGATTTTAACCCCTAACGCTGAGGCTATATTTCTGTCTATGAGAGCCGGGATTCGGAGTCGGTCGAGGAGCGCATTAGGGACAGTTCCGGGCGCGCGGGAATTTCTTCACAGCAGAGGCTGGTCACCTGCCGTCCGTCCCTCCTCGCCTGGCCCGGGGACCGTCGCCAGAGCCTGGCGCAGGCAAATAAATACCAAGCTGGGGCGCCCCCAAGGAGGAGCTGCGATCTGAAGGCAATGCCAAGCGACAGCGGTGGCGCGTCTGTTCTTCCGGAGCCTGTAGTCTACAAATAACTCCGGCCAGCAAGGAGGTGACAGCCCCGATGTACCTCCCACTCCCCTACTCTGGCCTTGCTCCGCAGGCTGTGGAGGGGCCAGCGGAGCGAGCCGGGCAGCAAGAGAGAACGAAAGACGCCCAGCTCGCTGCAGCCGCCAACCCGCCTCAGCCGCCAGTCCTCAGGAGCTAGTGAGGCGCAGCGAGGCGAGGCCGGGGCCTCTAGAACACAGTTTAAGGGGTGCGCACGGAAGTGGAAACCAGCCGGTGGCCGCTGCCCGGCGCCAGAACGTCTACCATTCAGTCCGGGCGTGTGCGGGGCCGGGAAGAGGCTGGAGTAGAGAAGCGAGCGCCCGCGAGTGCGTGGCCGGTCCGCGAGCGCGTGTGGTGTGCGCCTTGTGAGCACTGCGGGTTCCCTGGACCCTCGCGGCCAGGGCCGCGCCCCGCACCCCAGCTGTCGGGTTACCCACAGTTCGGTTTTCCGCTGTGGCTGAACACAGCGGCTCTGCTCTTGCCAGTCTCCATCTCACCTCGGGGATGGGCAAATGCACACATCATGGATTCTCCGGATGCTCCAGCCCGCGGACTCCAATGGGAGCCCCAAGACGCCCCCAGACCCAGCGCGGCGCCTCAAGCACAGGGGACCCTCTGAAGGCAACTGGCCGCGCCGTCAGCGGCCGACTCGCAGGTCCCGATGCTCCTGCGCTCTGGCGGCCCGGACTCCGCGCCCTCGCTAAGCCGGCGCGTCTGCCCCGCGCTGCTACCACGAGCACCAGGAGCGTGTTCGGGGCCCTCCGGGAAGTGGAAACGGGATGTGGGGTCATCCTGCCCGCTCCTGATAACCTTTTTTCCTACGTTTCCCTGCAGACCCAGAGCAGCGAGGTCACGGTGTCCTCGACCTCAGCAGGAAGGACCCCGCGATGGTTCTTCACGATTCGCCCACGCGAACAGCGCACCCGGGCCCGAGCGCACGGAGGCCTGCAGCGCGTGGAACTGAGCGGGTCCTGCGGTTCGTGTGCGGCCCTCTTCCCCCCAGCCCACTCACACCCCTGCCCGGTGCGTCCGCGCTCACCTGTCAATGCGGCTGGTCCTCGGGGCCTGCGCTTTCGACGCGTGGCGCTGAGTGCGGCCGCGGCCAGAGCCGCCGGGGCTCGGCGCGGGGTCAGCGGGACCGAGAGTGACGCGGCGGCCGTGCACTGGGTCGCCCGGTCCGCGGAGGGCGCACCGAGTGCCAGGCATCGCGCCGTCTCCCGTTTAAATGCCGGCGGCAGCGCGCGGCGCCCGGGGCCGCGCCTCTCCATTGGCCAGGCGCCGCCGCCGCCGCCAGACCCGCTATCCGCCCCCTTTCCCGGTACTGCCCCCGCCCCCCGCACCCCTCCTGCTTCCCCGCGGGGTCCCCTCTCCGCCCGCCTAGCCTCTTTGTCTGCTCCCCCCGCCCGGGCCGGCTGGGAGAGGTC